AGGCCCGGCGTGGAGGTGGTGGGAGCGTTTTGCGCTGGGGACTGCGTCTCCTGCTCCTCGGGCTCCTCTGTGCTCGTCACCTGGGGTCTGGCTTCCCCTGTGGTTGCCATGGCGGCAGCAGCACAAGGCCGCACAGCACACAGCAGCGGGAGCAGGAGGGCACCACAGGGCAGCCGGCGTGGCAGGGCTCACTGTGACAGCACGGGTGGGGAGGCCTGGGAACCCTCCGTCCCTGTGCCACCCGGAGCGGTGTGCAGCCGCGGGGGGTGTGGCAGGGCGCACTGGGCCGCGCACGCCATGCCAGGCAGTTGGAATTATGAGAGAGCCATGGAAGTGGTGAAGCACCAGCTGACAGATCCGATCTGCAGCGTTTCCAGAGATGACCGCAGGGTGCACTGAGGGAGGCGCGGGCCGGACGCCGGCCGGACGCTGAGAGCTTGGACGCGGGCAGAAGTGGTTTGGAGACGGGACCTCATGTTTCATGCTCCATGTTTGCACAGCTCTTTGCTTGTTGTCTGGCGCAGCGGTCGCCAACCTTTCGGGCCTCGCGGACCACCGGTTGCCGACCGCTGGTCTAGGGCAGTGGTCGGCAAACTGCAGCTCACGAGCCACATGCAGCTCTTTGGCCCCTTGAGTGTGGCTCTTCCATAAAATACCACCTGCGGGTGCGCACGTACAGTGCGATTGAAACTTCGTGGCCCATGCGCAGAAGTTGGTTTTCGGCCTGGGCGAGTCTATTTTGAAGAAGTGGTTCTAACTATAGGTTTTAACTAAGACTTAAAACTTTAAGTAAAGTTTGTTAAGTTAATTTTAGGGAACGTTGTGGAGTGAAAGAAGATGTAGTATCAAGGATTGAGAAAGGTATGTTGAGATGGTTTGGACATATAGAGAGGATGAACGAAAGGAGATAGACGAAACAAGTATACAAGACGAGTGTGGATGGGAGAGTTGGAAGGGGTCGACCTCAGCGAACATACCTCAATCAGATTGAGGACGTTTTTAGCAAAGGCCAGCTTAGGAGTACCCTAATTAAGTTAATAACAATGTACCTACCTATATAGTTTAAGTTTAAAAAATTTGGCTCTCAAAAGAAATTTCAATCGTTGTACTGTTGATATTTGGCTCTGTTGACTAATGAAAATCTTTTTAAGTTTAAAAAAATTGGCTCTCAAAAGAAATTTCAATCGTTGTCCTGTTGATATTTGGCTCTGTTGACTAATGAGTTTGCCGACCACGGGGCTAGGGCACCGTCATCTTCATTAACGGGCCGGTGAGCAGCTGGGGAGACACAGGTGCCGAGCTGACTGAGCGGTGGAGCGGTGCCTGCTCTCCATCCTCCTCTCCAGGCCCATCGCTCCAGGAGCAACACGGTTCCTGTGGGTTGGGGGCAGCTCCTCTGCTCGGGGTTGGACAGTGACCCTGGGAGCTCGCCTGGTAGGCCCTCACCTGCCCTCCCATTGCCGGTGGCACCAGGGCTGTTGCTCAGGCGTGGGGAGACGAGGCCCAGGTGCGCCTCCACCGCTGGCTTCACGCCGCTCGGGTGTTCACGAGCCCGTTTTCCATCCTCCAGCTGCATGTGCAGGTGGCGGCCTGCGCTTTCTTGAGGCTCTGTCCTGGGGCTTTGCAGCCAGAGCCGCCACGGAGAGGATGTTTCTGTTGAGAGCACCGTGTGTCTCCATTTCTGCAAGTCCAGCGATGCTGCCGTTCGTGATGTCCCCTGCCGGGCTCACAGGAATCGAGGCTGTGGCTTTCCCAGAGTGTAGGGAAGGCGGCCGTGCAGGCTGCGTTGTCGGCGTGGAGGAGAGGTGCCCATCATGGGCGGGGGCTGCTGCCTCCTTATGACCCGAGGGGTGGGCAGCCCCAGGATTGGCCTGCGGCTGGCTGGGCGGTGTGCTAACTGCGGAAGGGGCCTGGGGTGGGTGGCCACGCCCCTAACGCGCTGCCAT